GAGGTAGTCGTGAGATTACGCAGTTTGCAACGCAGCTTAAAAGGCAAAAGCGCATAACATCTGGCTTTTCGTTCAAGGGACAAGTGTTTGTTCGTGTGCAGCCCAGTGCAGCTGCGATTAAGGTGCTCAGCACAGAGGAGATAGATGCAATCATTGCGGGCAAATGACTAGCTATTAAGTTTATGTGTAACATGTCTTCAGCCTCCTCCCTCTATATTATTTCTCTTCTTTTTACTAAATACTTACCTTATTCTATACTCATCTTCAATAATTTCGGCATTTTCCGTAATTTTAATCGTTCCTATTGTGCGGTATATGTACGGTGACCATAAATATATTTTGAAAATGCAGGCCAATTTAAAAAAAAAATGTATCTACATATAATTGCGTAGTATAAAAATAACAAAAATATACTACATACATATATACATTCCACGTCATTTGAATAGTGCACCCTTTACTTGATTTTCTATCATACAAAGTATGCTTGACAAAATTTCTATATGGAAGAAAATGCGCAGCACCGTCAACAAAAAAATTGTCGCCCCTGTTTATCTTTTTTTAATTTTCAAAAATTTTTTAAATGGGATGTAGACGTAGAATATGCTATATTTTTATAAAAAGTTAATGAATATTAAGAAAACAAAAGGAAAACTGTACCTACTAAGTATTAAAAGGATGCGCTATTCAAATAACGAAGTCTGTATATTTCTTAATTATTAATCCAATTTTAAACTTTAAACATAAATCACATTTGCTTCATTGGTATTAATCTTTTAGTAATGAATGTTTACAAAATTATAATAAGGCATATTACTTACTTATTACTTTACACGAAATACGAACCTCTGTAAAGCAAATTTTTTAGGCAAACTTTGGGTCGTTGAACACGAAAAAAATACCCATGGTTTCAAAGAAGTGTTTTCGAGATTCGTTCGAAAAACGTATTTTTAGTACTTTTTCAGTTATTCCTCAAATCTCATGAAACGACCAACAGTTCGAAAGGTATTGATGGGCTCTTTGCAAAAATATATATTTTTTGTGCAGATTGTGTTCCGTATCATTCTACATTTCGCATCAGATTTTCATTTACTGTAAAAAGAAAATTAATGAAATTTCAATTTTTCGATTTTGGTCGCTTGTAAGACTAATAATTTGCAGCGAAATCGGCAAAGTAATATATTTTTGTAAGAGGACTGTAGGTCGCTTATGTTGATTGGATAATTTTTTCATGAGATATTGACGAATAGGTTCGAAATGTACCAAAAACACGTTTTTCGAAAAAATTACGAAAACGCTTGTTTCAAAGGAAAATTGGCTTGGAAAATATTTTTTTCTTAAGCGATTACCACAACATTTGTAGAAGAGTGTTATCGATATATTTGATGCTGGTCTTCAATTTCTCGTCATCCATTGTCCATAACCGTACAATATTTAGAACGCACTGACTAGTTGAACCTTTGAAACCAGCTTACCCTTATGTAGTTATCAATTAGTTATCGACACTGCTTTTATTTCGATTAGGAAAAGTTAATTTTAAAATATCGAAGAAAATGCAGGACAAAGGCAGGACACTTGGAAAAAATCAGTACATTTTGGGGGTTTTCTGTTTTGAAAAACTACGCAGGACAGACCTTTAAATAACAGTACGGTCCTGCAAAAAACAGAACGGATGGTCACCGTAGGTATATGTTGCTTCGCACTGAGATACAAGAAAAGTTAAAATCGCTGTGGTTCCAAAGACTACACGTTTAATATGATACAGATACTGGGCAAACAAATGCGCGGCCTGAAGGTATGTCACATTAATGCCCAAATCCTTCATCCTAAAATCGATGAATTTAGATATATTTTTGAACGTTCCAATGTTGATGTTTTGTGTGTGTCAGAGACTTGGTTATCTTCGTGCCATGATGATTTGCTTTGTATCAGTGGGTATAAACTGTTTCGCTCAGATAGAATCGGGCATGGTGGTTTTGTCGCTATTTATATTAAAATTGGTCTCTCGTGTCGTCTTAAATGTAAATCAAGTGCCTCGGATTCCATTGAGTATATCTTCGTAGAAATTGTTAGCAGTACAAATAAAATCCTAGTTGGCTGTGTATATAGACCAAATCGCAGCATTGCATACTTCCCATTTGTTGATTTTATTGAGAATCTTACCTTAAATTACAACAACATCCTTATAAGTGGCGACTTTAACAGTGACTTGCTTACTGAAACTGAGTTTTCGCTATCAATGGAAAACCTTGGACTTTTCCCTGTTAAACGTTCACCCACACATTTCACGCGAACCAATAGCACGTTATTAGATGTATTTTTTTTATAAATAAGAGGTCTAAGGTATTACTTTATGACCAACTATCCGTGCCAAATTTCTCTAAGCATAACCTGATATATCTCACCTACGATTTCCAATTTACTTACGACACCCTCACATTTTCCTATCGCGACTTCAAGCATATAAACTACCACCAACTCGAGATGGCAGATGATGGCATCAACTGGGGATCTATTCATAGTATGGTGTCAGCAGATGAACAGATTAATTTTCTTGAAACCAAAATTGGCGAACTTGATGATAACTTTGTGCCGATTGTAAAAAAATCTTATAGTTCTAGGACTCATCCATGGTTTAATAGTCAGATTAAAAGACTGATTTACAAGCGGGATAATGCGTATCAAAGATGGAAACGGTCAAAATCTGATATCACGCACAGTGACTATAAGATGCTTAGAAAGGAAATAACGAGCTCAAGTGATGTCACGTCTTCAAGATTATTAAACTCTGGAGGTCCGAAATATTTCAGTCGTGTTTTTGATACGGCAGGACAATGGCATAGGAAGTGTTCTAGGGTCTCCCTGGTTCCCGTCCCCATGCATTTCCTGCAAACTTCACTGACAGCAATCCCCATTTTGCTTGCGTGCGCTGCCAACATGTTATGTTCTGTTAGGACATCTATCATAGTTATGCAACCTCTTCGTTCGTGCCAGCGATAGTATAAACCGGGTTTGTGTCCCGTTTTCCAGTCTGCATAAATATGACTTTAGAGATTGAAAGGTGTTTAACGAATCCCATCTCGATATGGTCTGCTTTTTCACCCTTTGGTCTATTTCGTTATAAAGATTTGACAGCGGTTTCGGAATGTTATTCTCTTGTTCTATAACCAAGTGGATTCCGCTCTTGGCAATCTCATCCACAATTTCGTTACCTGTAATGCCCTTGTGGCCGGGGGCCCAATAAATATGCAGTCGCCTGGTTGCTGCTGCCCTATTTATGGCCTCCCTGCTTCTAAGGACATTTTGTGACGTAAACCGGTATGAGCTTATAGCGTTAATCACTGTTTGACTATGTACGTAGGTATATGTTAACTTTAGAGTTGTTTTCAGTCATTGAGTAAGCTAGCTCAGCGGCTTTACTCACTGCGAAACCTCTGTCTGGAATATACTGCAGTGATCCGGCAGCTTGATGAGCCGACGAACACTAAGTTCTGAGCAGTAAATAATTCCCATGTAAATACTCATTTTTGCTAGGCAGTATATTTATGTATGAACTTTCAATACAAAATAACTTAATCATTCATTTGATGAAGCTAGTACTTTCGAAAACATCGGAGCCTTAAATGTATCGATACATAAGAACTCGATCCTCAAAAGTACTCGATACTTTCCAACACGTAATTTTTATATTATGCGTTGCCGAAAACTTTTGTACATCACAGTGTCTCTTTTTTCTGCAACCTCTGTAAAGCTATGAATATTGGCTCGTATACAAACAGATCTGCAACTTCTAATCAGATTTTTTAGAAAAAATATTCACAAAAATCAACGCGATTTTCCAGCAACTTCAAACTTATACTAAAAACAAATGGGCTATAAAACTGCATACTTAGAATTTTTGTAAAATATCTGAGTAGAAGTTGCAGATCTGTTTGTATACGAGCGTATACACAAGAATCGGTTTGTAACTATTTCTACTGGGAACGAATTGCGCATGCACGGTATCTCTTCATGTTGATTTTACGTCTGTCAGGCAAAATAAATGTACTTTACCAAAACCCAGTTCATTTCGACGCTTGGTTTTTTTGCAAATTCAAATTCAAAAAATTTATATTATATGGTCGTATACAAAGAACCGACTAAGGTTAAGTAAACTGATACGATAAAAGTAAATATTGCAATATGGCTGTCAAAAGAAAGACGTTTAAGGAAGGCTTACAGCCGAAAATATTTTTGTGGAAGATTGTCACCTGTTTGAAAATTTTATTCAATTAAATTGCTCAAATAAATGAAATATTGCAATATTGGGTATTAAAAAGGTTTAAGAAAGTTTACTGTTTACTGTTTACTAAAATATGTTTGAAGCCTGTTGCCACCTATTTGAAAATGTAATTCAGTTAAATTGATAAGAAAAGGTAGATATTGAATTAGTACACCATTGAAGAAAGTGCGAGATATGTAGACTCGAGTTATAACAACACCAAAATACTTTTAAGGCGCAGGGAAGTACGCTGGCTATTGGCTAGTGTAAAATAATTATTACCTAAAGATTGGCAATAACAGGGCGAACAAAAGAAATTAAATGATATTACGACAGTTATTATTTGACACACTGTACATGCTTAATATTTTGCATCAGTATGGAAGCTCATTTGCACCCATTTTAAATTCTCACGTTTCCTATATATTTGTTTTAAGTTCAACATTTCATGCAAACAAACACACACATACCACATGCATTTGTGGCTACACGTTGCTGCATCTAGAATAAATGTGCTTAAAAAGCTGTTGATTGACGTACATCACACATTCACAATATGTACGTCTCTATGTATATGCAAATGTACCTACTACACGTGTATGCATATGATTATGAATGTTATGTAACTTACAAAAATAATGCCGAAATAACAACTATTTGCATCTGAACTAGAAAAGAAATCTTTGAATCTGAAATTGTGATATTTCAATTTTTAAAAGCATCCCAAAACATGTTGCAGCTACAACCACAACAGATACGAAGACAGCCGCAAGCAGCACAACAGTTGCATCAGCAGCAGCAGAGGGATTCCATGTCTGCAAATTCTAGTGCGGGTGGCCTTGGTGGTCTTCGCGGCGGCCGCCTAGACGTCTCAGGAAATGTCACAGCCACAGTTGTTGGTAGCGCCGCGAGTGGAGGTAGCGTAGGTGTAGCCGGAAATACCTTGTTACCGCTTACAGTCCCTGGACAGCATCAGCCCGTTTCCATAGCTACTGTGCCGGCAGCGGCAGTCCTTGCTGCATCAATGGGAGTTGGTACAGCATCCACATTGGCTTCAACTACTCCTGTAAGTGTTGGTGGTCTAAGCGTGAGTGTCACGAATGCTACCGCGGTCACTACGGGCAATGGTGTCGACCCAAAATTAGCGCAATCGGTATTGCCACAGCAACAACATCAGCAGCAGCAAATGGTATTAACCTCAACTGATGCCACTTTAGCCACGACAGCATCCACTACAACTGCACTATTACCAAATTCACCAAACGTAAGCGTTCCACGATGTAGGCGCCAAAAATAAATGCAACCTGCAAAATCAAAATTTTACAAACAGTTCATGCATACATATCCTCTAGCATCACATACATACACACATTTATGGTTACATGCATCTACATACATATCAGTAATGAAAAAATCGCTGGCTCATTGAAATAAAAACATTAACGAATTGTCGATTGTTGACACTTGGGAGGTCCGTAGTCAACAAAAGAAATTTGGGGAAACGATATATCTTACAGAATTTAAGTAATTTCATCACTACGTATACACCTACATTCATATACAGTATATATGCGAAATAATAGCAGTGCGACATTTAAGCCAGTTTTGACTGTTCTCGTTTTCATTGATTAATGTTTTTTTAATTTTATATAAAAGGCTAGCTGATTATTTAACAAACACCATATATGTAAATCCACATTTCAAACTTCGTATTAAAATTATAAAAATTCAAAAATTTTCAACAAATATTTCGAACTTTTTAATCAAAATTTTAAGAAAAATGTTGGTCTGGAGTTTTTAGGCAATTCAAGTTTAATAATAATAATAATAATAGATTGGCGCTTACACATATGTTAGTGTTTGGCCGAGCCTCTCCTCCGACTTGTGACGTGCGCCTTGATGTTGTCACACAAAGCGGAGGGACCTACAGTTTTACGCCGACTCCGAACGGCGATTGTATTTTTATGAGAAGCTGTTTTTCATGGCACGCGGAGGTTTGCCATTGCCTGCCGAGGGACGACCGCTGTTAAGAAAAAACCTTTTTCCATTTTTTTGCGATGTTGCTTTGACCAGGGCTTGAACCCAGGTGCTGATGAGTGAAAGCGCGCACTGCTTACCACTACACCACAGCGGCCGACAATTCGATAATTCAAGTTTAGTATTTATAATAAAGTGCAAGTTT